TCTCTCTCTCTCTCTCTCTCTCTCTCTCTCTCTCTCTCACACACACACACACACACACACACACAGATTCTTGCCAAGGTGCCCAGGCTGGGCTTGAATTTGCCACCCTCTTGCTCTCCGTCCCTTCTTCTCCTTCTCTCTTTCTGTCTCTTCCTGTGTCTCTGGGTCTGTCTCTCTCTGTGTCTGTGTCTCTGTCTGCCTCTCTCTCTCTCTCTCTCTCTTTCTCTCATAGATTCTTGCCAATGTGCTCAAGCTGGGCTTGAATTTGCCGCCCTGTTGCTCTCCGTCCCTTCTTTTCCTTCTTCTTCTCTCTTTTTGTTTCTCTCTCTTTCTCTGTCTCTCTGTCTCTGTCTTTCTCTGTGTCTGTGTCTCTGTCTGTCTGTCTGTCTGTCTGTCTCTCTCTCTCTCTCTTTCTCTCTCCTTCCGTCAAACAGATTCTTGCCAAGGCGCCCAAGCTGGGCTTGAACTTGTCACCCTCCTGCCTGCCTCAGCCTCCCAGCAGGCTGGAGTGACCGGTGTGCACTTGCATGTCCAGGGACTATATTATCATTAAAGTCGAAAATTCGCAGTGAGCCTTGCGCTCCTCCGCATGCGTCTGCAGGCCTTGGCCAATGCGTGACGTCAAGTTTCTACGATACAGGAACTTAGAAACAGTTTTACTGCCTTAAAAATTTTCTTATTCTCTACTCATTCCTGCTAAATCCTGGAAATCTTTTTTTTTTTTTTTTTTTAATGGGGAAAAATAAATATGTAATAGTCAGCTGGACTCAGTTGAGATGATCCCAATTTTGTTGGCAACATCCAAAGCATCATAATCGGGAGCCAGTGGAACATATGCCTTCTTCTCTCCGTAGGCCGGATTAGGGCATTGACCTTGGCTTCTTCACAGCTCGTTTGATTTGGTGCTTATTGGCTGTGACATCCACAGTGAACACGAGTGTGTCGTTGTCCTCGATCTTTTCCGTGGCGGACTCTGTGCTCAGGGGGGCTGGATGATGGCTTAGTGGTCAGGCTTGTTTCTCCTGGGGGCGCTCTTCTAGGAGTATTTGTGCTGCCTCCAGAGCCGCAGGGTCTTGGGCTGGCGGGAGGTGG